ACACGGGACTCGGCCGAGGTGGAGACCTGACTGTTAGGAACACCTGTCACTTACTCCCTGTGAGCCCCTGTAAATGAGATGCAGTTGTTGTGGATGATATTTTCCTTTTTTAGAAATGATCTTGGACAAGATCATGCTTTTTTGGGCTCCTGAGAGGTGTATTCATACAATTGTACTCAGGTGGTGAGTTGAATTTGAGAAAAGGCAGCTGACATGTTCTATAATGTGTTATATACTGTGTTTTCATATATATTTAAATTCTCATAAGAATAATGTGAAGTAGGTATTATAATTTTTATTTAAGGAAATGGACACAGAGAAGCCAAGTAACTATCTCAGTTTCACAGAATTATTCAAAAACCCCATCAGTTTCCAAGTCATTTTAGTTCTAGCATTTACGGTCTTTTAAACTATCACACTGTATTTCTCTTCAGAGTAAAATAGATTTCTTCATTACAAGGTTTCTCATTCCTTTGATATGCCTACTATAATATAAATCTATAACATGAAGAAGTGTATAATTCAGTTTCTCAAGCATAGGAGATACATTCATAAGGTAATTAAAAAAAAATCCTTCATAGTAGAAATGTTCATAGTTTTGAGATTATGGTCTTCTTGATCTCCAGTCTTGCAAGTGACCTATTAAATGCTTTCTTGAGTATGTGTGTGAGATACATGTGTGTTTATGCTGTTGCCTCAGTCAAGTTTTTGTTGCTGAAAAGAAGCCTATGATTAGAGTATGAAATTTTGAAGTATGCTGTAGGTTGACATGACTTAATATATGAGGTATTAGGAGAAAGATTTGTATACATTTAGAATTAATTGAAGTCTGTGTCCCTAGACAAGTAATGCAAATAACTATTGATCTTTAAGCCAGATACAATTCAGTTTAATAGTTGTCTTTCTGTTAAGCCCTTTTCTATATCTTATGTAGACTATAAGCATGTCTATTTCTCCATTGTCACCACCACATGGAATTCAGCACATTTTCTCTATAAGGAGAATGTATTCAATGTTGTCTAGGGATCAAGTCCATCATCATTATAGGAATCTTCGAACCCCCCCCAAAAAAAGGTGAAATTTCTAACTTTGAGAGATATCCAGGCTTAGACTATGTAGTATAAATTGTCTGTGGATGACGCCTCCATGTACACAATTATGTGAGAATTTTGTTAAAATTAGCCAGAGTCTGAGGGGTAGCTCTCAGTTTTACTTATATTTTCATCAGATTGAGACAGAAGTTTCTAGATTTTGAAAACATCCAGAGATCGAGATCAGTCAAATTTTTGTTGTTTTGTTTTTTTATTTAAAAAATTTTCCATTCAGTTCACATCAAATGAAATAATAAAGTCTCTTTAGATAATATCTACACTATTCCATTTCGCCATCTAAGTTTGAATTTTGTTGTAGTATCTGAATGGTCCGGAGGAACCTCATACTTCTAATTATCATTTTGAGATGCAATAGGAACACAAGAGATTCTGTCCTCTGTGAAGAGGCAAGTTTTATATGAGTTAATGAGACACTGACTCAGGGTTTGGGGGAGGGTTGAATGGTGTGGCCACTTATTACTTGCTGACAAGGAAAGCAAGTGGGACACACATGGCATCAAACCATGACTGACTCTCCTAATTCAGTCACAGTAAGGTCAGTAATGACATGTAGCCAAATATTCCGTATTCCATTTAGAACACTACAGCATAGTATTCTGCCTAATCTCGAAATGTAAACATCAAAAACAAGTCAGTATAAATCCCAAAGAGGTTTTGAACAAAGGATTTTTCATTTTTTCTTCTTTAAAGTGATTTTTCTTTTGGATGCACAGATCTGGTAATATTTTGCTAATTCTTGAAGGGCAATTTGTTATGTTAAGCCGTAATACTGCCCCATAACACTGGTGAATTTGAAGATGAAACTCTTGAACCTGTTGAGACCAGTGCTACAAACATGAGGAAAATCTGGACTAATGAAATAAGACCACCCCAAATTAGAAATTCTCAATTATCTGAGTAATAAAGGTAGTCAATCTGCAACTTCATTTCTGGTAAGACAGTTAACATCTAGTAAGAAAAGACACACACTGTAATTTGACCTTTCATTTATTCAAGACAGTATTCTAATGTAATATAACACCAAGTTGACTAAGTATTTCCTTAAAATTCAGCAACAGCAAAAAACATTTGCTCAGCAAATATTTTTTGTATGTTCATTAGTAATTGCAGAATGCAGAAGATAAAGGAAAAGAGGCTGTAATTAGGGAAGCCAGTTCAAAGTAATTTCTATAAATGCACCTAATCTTCTATAAATGTACAAGATCTGAAGGTCACTGTGAAAATGCTTTTGAGGCACCATTTCCTGTTCCAAAATAATATTTGTCCCATAGTATTGCTTTACAAATGCTAAATTTTCCATAACCAATCTGTTGACAGTTTTACTTAGTAACTCATTAAGTTCATCATGACTTTAATATAGTCAACTTTTAAGTGAAACATGAGATTGGATTTTTCCTTCACTGTCAATTGACTTTATAGCAAAGATACTTGGACTTTGATGTGATCAATTAAGTTCTTTTAGTCTTTTACTTTTCTTTCATTGATTCACATTAGTATCATATTCACGGCATGCCTGTCTAATTGGACTAGACATTGAATCTGAGGGTAGTGCTTTCCTAAATTAAGAAAGCTGTTGCAAAAAGAAAGCCTCTTCTGGAAATTGACTTAAATGATAAGCTTGACCCCAGTGCAGCTTCTAAGTATACAGTGGACAAAACCTTACAGCCCTGACATAAATAAATCAATTTTTGGTTGATGAAACTTGAATAAATTACTACATCTGCAATGTCACATCCCTTATTTTAAACTATTTTTATAATATTTCTCAAAATTTTAAAAGCAATAGTTTGAATTAATAAGTTTTTGTGAAATATAAAGCTCATTGAACTAATTTTTCTTTTCTATAGAGATGAGCAATAAATGTGTTAGGAAAGCCCTATAAACATACTGCCTTTGGTTGTGTCCAAAGTAAAAACAGCCAAATAAATGAGTTCAAAAATTGATAAGAAATTACTTAATATGGGGGTGGAATAATTCAAAAGGAAAGAAAAATAAGATAGTCTCAGGAAAAAAATCATGTTTGCCTGTTCTGACCTCACTAATTAAAGTAGTAACGTGTCATCTCCCAGCGATTGTTGAGAAACATCAGGTCTTCCTATTTTAAGCATCTGTCTCACAGGAGAAACTGACTGATTCAGCCAGAGTTGAATCAAAAAAAGGTTTTGTGGTAATCCTTTGAACTTCTAAGCCTGACAGATAATAGTTAATTTAATGTGTCCTATTTAGGTGATGTGTATTAGTTAATTTTGTGTTTTAAGCTGTGAGTCTTTTAATCCATAGATTGGAAGTAGATTAAGTCACTAAGTAGGTTATATATAGGGGAGGGGTGTACATCTCATATCTCTAATATTATTTCCCAAGTATTTTTCATCTTCATCTCTTACTTGATTTTCTTTAGGGTCAGCTTACTCTTCCCCTCTGCACTCCCCTCCCCAATGATTCCCACCCCTTAAAAACTCTACCTTAAAGCCCTTTCAAGAGCCAGCCTAGAAGTTTTCTTTTTCCATGCTGTCTCCCCTGTGCTCAAGTCTAAGTCTAATAAGTCTAAGTCTTTAGACTTAAGTCTAAGTCCATGCATCTTGTCTGGATGCATGATCCTCTGCCTTTTTCTTGAATTCTTTCTCAAAGAAGGTTAAAAAACTGAGTTCAGTAGAAGGAAAAAAAAATGCAAGATGATATACAGAAATCAATCAGAACATAAAATGAATGCCAATAGCTGCTCAGCCACCCAGGGTCTACCTCAGTTCCTGTCATTGACCTTCACTGCCCAGCACACCTACAGCTATCCCCATAGTAGTGTACCTGCCTGCCACCAGCCCCAGCTCCTGTCTTTAGCTTCCACCACATTGTACATGCCTGTGCCAGGCCTCTGCAGCCACATGAGTGCTTGTCAACAGTCAAGGCACTCAGTTGCTCCCATACTGGATGCTAGTCATGTTCACTGTCACAGGCCTATACCACATGGCCGGCCCTCAGCTACTGTCTATAGCTGCATAAGTATATGCCAACAACCTGGGGCTCTGCACCCATGGTTACCTATTAACCTTGCCACTGGCCCCAGCCCCCCACTACTGCACCCTAGTTTGATTTATGCAAAGGCAAATTGTATTAGTAACCATGCACTTCAGTCTGTCTAGATAACCAGATTCCAACCACTCTTAATAGGTGTCAGCTGCCTACCAGTGTGTCAAGGAGATGGCGCATGCCCAGGGTTAAAGCTCCTCACCCAAACTCACACCAACGTCATTATAATATTAAAATCTCCAAGTAGGGGCGGAGATGAGCCATAATTTTCAGAACATGCATGAACCTCAGATAAGCAAGCTCAAAGGACCTGTGGATGACCACGAAATGACCTGCAATGGCTGATATGGCCACATGCAACTTGAGAGCTCCTGCGTCTTCCTTCTGCCCTTTTTCTTTCAAACGGGCTTCCCAATGTATTGGAATGGGGGACCGTAATGTTGGATCCATTAGTACTGGCTCACTTGCCTCTGCTTATCAGAAGCTTCTGCTGGTTGCCCTACTGTTAATGGAGGCTGTAGTGTTGTCTATTCCTCTTCATTGGTGATAGGATAATGGTGAGAAACCACATAAGACTCCTTGTCCTTTTGGTCTCCCTACAGTCTCTGCGGTAGACTAAATTCTTGCTGCCACTTCTTCTTCCTTCCCTATTTCAGAAAAATACATCATGACTCCCTTCTGACTTTGTGTTACCACCAAAAGAGCACATTAATACTTATTAAAAATTTAAAAAGAAATACAAATAAAAAATCACAATTATCAAAAAGGGTAAGGGAAGGAAAGGTGACTCCAATGGGCACTGTTCTGGAACCTTTGTCACACTCCACTCCATGGTACTAGGATTGTGCTGGAAACAATGGAACTAGAAGGTCTTGGATGATGACACCGCAGCTGATAGCCTGGTTGTTTGGTAAGGTGATATGGCACACTGAGATCCTGCCTCCCAGGATGGAAACCTTGTGTGCTGTCTCTTCATTTGCATCCATAAGTTACCTGGTCATTGAGTTCTTAGAGCAGTACTACCCAGTAGTGTGTTAGTTTGGCATTGATGCATCAGCCACTAACCACATGTATACTTGAAATATGACTAGCAGACTGAGGAACATAACCTTCAGTATTTTAAATTATATTAAATTTATTAAATAGCCTACAATGGTTAATGACCACCAAGCTAGAGGTATAGACCCAGAGCATGTTATTTATTTATTTATTTTATAAAGATTTATTTATTTATTTATACAAGCACTGGGTGCAGTCAGAAGCACGGGAGGGTGAGAGAATTCACCAGAGCCAGAAGGGAGAGCAGAGCAGGCAGACTGACGAGATACACTGCTGAGGGGAGCAGCGGGCATCAGGAGAGGTCTGCGCGCCATGTGGGACATTCACCCGGCGGCCAGGGATTGAACCGGTGCTGCAGAGGCTGCAGGCAGCTTCACAACCCAGTGCTCAACCACTCTGCCACCGGGGAGGCCCCAACAGAGCATGTTTTTTTGATTCATCAGTTCAATTCCTTGATTAACATAGAAAAGTCAGACCAAGGATGACAAATCAGATGCATACCTTGACATGGTGGAGGTTCTCTGGCAGTCCAACCTTTTTCAACCCAAATTTAAATGTAAGAAGATTTCATTGCATGATTTTCAGTTGACAGACCACAAATTACAAAATATTGCTAGCCATAACCTTTTAATGCAATGCTTTCTACCTCATTCACTCTTTGAAATTATAACAGACCTGGGCCTTTGCCTGTATCCTTAGGGCCTTGGATTAAGAGCTTTTCTCTTAGCCTCTGCTTCTGTCTCGATTGGGACACTGACAAAGAGCTGATCTGCTCTCAGCCCCTAGGCTGCTTCCATTTCTGTCAATGCTTTTCATTATTACCTCTGCCTGGCAGGGGATGCTTGGTAGATAACTGCTGCTAATAACTTTGCCAGTACTTCTGCTCTCTTGGTATCTTTGTCTCTGAAAAGCATGTCTTTTTAGAATGTAGGAGAGGATTTGGCTCATGTAATTTAGTGCACATGAACACTGACGTTACTTGGGCTGAGATCGTTGGCTATAGTCTGAAAATGGTTATCTTGCTCTTCTCTTTCTGTGTTCAGTAGTGCTAGCTTCCTTCCCATGTGAAGAATACTAGAAGGAGCCACCAGACTCTAACCTCTGACATCTTCTCTACCAAATTCAAAGCTTCAGCTGTAATGAACCCAGTATGAGTCCTTGAAATAGTAGCTGCTCGTGTTAAAGACTTCACTATTTTACATCAGAAACTCCCTAGGATGTATCTTCTTGTTTTTCACTTGGACTCATGTTCTAGTCACCTAACCAATTGCTTTGTTTTTACTTCTAACTCCTTGAACAGTCTTGACCCAAGGACACATTAGTTTTTTAAAACCACTCTCTTGGCTTCCTATTAACCATAAATAAAGTCAAAATATCTCACTGTTGACTGCAAGGTCTAAATGGCCTGACTTCTGAACACCTCTCTGACCTCACCTCCTAACCCCTGTCATGTTTCCCATTGCTCACACCTCTCTGGCCCATAGTCCTGCTCCTTCCTTAACTTACCAAAATCATTATTTTCTCAGGAACAACTTCCTTTGTGCTTTCTCTTTCTTTGGAACAATTATCCCCCAGTTTTTCCAAGGCTCCCTTCATTGAGGTCTCTATTCAAATGTTATAGGCTGTTTCATCCAGCTACCCTGTCTAAAATAGAAGCTATCTCCCAGTCCATTCCTTTACCCCAGACTTCCCAGTTTGTATGTCATGAATTGTAAGAGCTGCCAAGTACTGACCTCTTTACCTCAGGATGCTTAGGGGGCCTGTGTTCTCCTGTCTCCAAGTTTCTCCCAGTTCCCTTTGACTAAGAGCAGCCTTAGCTCATTTAACTCAATATACTGCTAAATACTAAGTAGTATTATGTATTGTTTGTCATTACATGAATGAGGGAAGCACACTGTGGTAGTCTGCCCTATTTCTTCAGTCATTAGTACAAATGACTCAACCAAATGAAATTCTATCAGTCAGCCAGATGAAATTAGGTATTTATGCATGTACTTGTCTATTTGTCGGCTTTCCCCAGTAATATTTGTACTGTAGGTCAACAAGGGCCATGTCTGCCTTGCATATCTCTGTTGTTCAAATACAGATTTCTTTTTGTTTTTAGTTGTTTTTTAAAGATTTGTTTATTTATGCATACAAGAACTAGGGTACAGGCCAGAGGTGTGGGGGTGAGAGGATTCACCAGAGACAGAGTGGGGAGCAGAACAGGCTGTTGTACTGAAATACACTGCTAAGGGGAGCAGCGGGCAAGACAGGAGAGGTCTGCTGTGCCATGTGAGTAGCTCCCTGGCCAGGGATTGAACTTGTGCTGCAGTGGCAGCTGATAGCTTCATAGTGCTGTGCTTACTCCTTGCGCCACCAGGGAGGCTCTGTTTTTAGTTGGTTTTATTGAGGTGTAAATATACAATGAAATTCACCCTCTTTGGTATACAGTTCTATGTGTTTTAATAAATACATAAGAGTCCTGTAACAAACACTGCAATCAAGCTTTACATATTTTTTCCACTTCTAACCTTTGGTAACAATAAACTTTTTATTTCTTATAGTTCTACTGTTTTATACACACACACACACACACACACACACACACACGCTAAAGCCTCGTTCTTCCTTGTGTTTCTTGTCTATTTTTCAACTATTCCCTTTATCTGTTAATGGTTCTTTGTGTGTATACACGTGCACACACACACAGCCAATAGTTCATACCTTGTACTCTCCCATTTGGGATACTGTGGCAGTTATTTGTCCATACTAAGTTTCCCAAGATTTGGGAAGAAAAAATAGTTGAGAACTCTATAGGCAGAGATTTCTACATCCCGTAGTGATACTAGACTTGACCTACTACAATCTATTTTTTTTCCTATGACTTTTGAATAAATTAATGACTTAAGCAACAAAAAATTATTAGTTTGCAGTTCCTGGGGGTCAGAAGTACAAAATAGGGCCTCCCTGGTGGCACAAGGGGTTAAGCACAGCACTATGAAGCAATCCACAGCCTCTGCAGCACAAGTTCGATCCCCGACCAGCCAGAGGGAAACCCACATGTCTTGCCCGCTGCTCCCCTCAGCAGTGTATTTCAGTTGGTCTGCCTTTTCCGTTCCCCACTCTGTCTCTGGTGAGTCCTCTCACCCCCCGCATCTCTGGCCTGTACCCCAGTTCTTATATGCATATATAAATAAATATTTTTTTTTTAAAAAAGATGTACAAAATGGATCAACCTCCTCTTTTGGAGACTGTAGAGGAGAACCTGTCCCCTTGCCACCTTCAACTGCTAGTGGCAACCACTCCCTGAGCTCCTGCCCAGCACACTTCAGCCTCTGCTTATGTTGTCACAACACCATCTCTCTGACCCTAACTTCTGTTTTCTCTTTCATCCATACCCTGGGATTACATTGGGCTCACTTGAATAGTACAGCAAATTTCCTTTTGCTACATCAGTAGTATATTCTAAGATTCCAGGGCTGAGGACATGGCCATCTTTGAGACTCTTATTCAGCCTTCCACACCTTTCAACATAAACAGCTTGTAACAACATGGTGAAGTCTCTGCACATACAGAGAAGAAGTAAGGCAGGACTGAGACTTCTAAAAGAACGAAATCATATAAAGGCGACCCCATTAATGTCCGCAGTCTCCTCCTGGATATGCCTTCTGAACAGTGGTATAGGGAGGAAGAATTGAGCAGAGTTAAACTGAGAGTGAACGTAATTTAGGGGGGCAGAGGCTTTGCTGGCACATATTTCTTACCTTTCTTTCAACTTCTCTTTTCTTTACCTGTTAGTAGTTCTTTTCCTAGTTGTGTTTTTCTCTCAATCTGGCTCCAGATTTTTCCATTCTTTTTCAACATAGGTTTTATGTTGAACCAAAATATACATTCTTGCACTTGGTTTTTATAACATAAAGGATCATGTTGCAAGCTCTAAATGCCCCAAGTAAGCGCAGTGAAGACTGTAAGTTTTTAAAATATATCTAAATGAATCTCTTTTTAACTTTGTTATAGTTCTCAATTCATATACCTCATCTTAGTTCTATAGCCCTTGATAGCAGAACAAACAAATCTACCTGGTGAAAAGATTTCAAATGCACAGGTGAGGCTAATTTGATTTCAACAAGTGGTTAATTTTTGCCAGATAATAAAATCCCTTTGATCAGGTCAGTCTGTGTTTAATGTACCGTATGTGAAACTGCCTATAAATATTCACCAGGATTAATATCAAACATAAATTTCAGAAAATAAGCCCTATTGACTAAATTTATTCTTCCATCAATTAAAATAAAAAAGCAGTTTGTGCAGGATTTGCCCAGTTGCTGATATTACACTGCCTTTTTTTGGTAATATGCCTGTAATGATTTTAACTTTTGTAATGCTATTTCTGGGTTTCCATAAAAGGAGTGACTTTGAATTATCCTTCCCTAAGCAAATTTCCCCACCTAAGCAAGAAGTGCCGCTTTGAAATCATTCACAAACCTTATAGCTGTCACTTGCTCTTCACCAATGGAGACTTCATTAACATACTCAATTTCCTGTGAATCTTTTTTCCCCATAACAAATAGTTGCCTTTTCCTTAACTACAGTAATGGTTACATATGCACTCTCTGGAGCCAGACTCCTGGGTTTTAAGACCCACTCCACTCCTTTCTAGCTCTGCAATCTCCAAAAAGCAGGTTAAGTCCATTCTGCCTCAGTTTCCTCATCTGTTTTACAAAATAGATATGGTTGGGGGGTAGCGGTAGGATGAAATGAGTGACACTTGTAAAGCATTTGGATTCCGACTCATATATAATTAACAGTCCATAAATGTCAGACATTGCTGTTGTTATGACGACTACCACGCCACCACTCTCCTTTGCC